GGACCGGAGCCCGATTACTTCTGTCCGCGCTTGGATGAGGAGTGAGCTTTTGGCTTTAGAGAGGGGGCGAAGGTCTTCGCCCTCAGCCTCTCTGCGCCACCTTTTCTTTCTGGAGCCGACCATATGTCTCCTTATCGAAGTCCCGTCGAACTTTGGGTATAGGTCAGCGATCGTCAACTGGTAGCGTCTTCCCGACTTAGAGACTGCCGCCGCTGTCTGCATCTCCCACCTTGCTATCCATTCCCTCCTTGTTGCTTTCTCTAACCACCGCTCCCTATCTTTGGCCGATGGCTCTTCCTGATACGGCGTGCCCTGTTGCGTATCGTGTGGCGCGTCTTGCGGCGTTGTTTCCCCTATTAGGTTGGCGGTGGGCGCCCATCTCTCGGCCCATTGGGCTTTGGCCGCTCCGCTTTCCGGTAGGTCTTTGGGAGGGGAAGTCCGTCGTCGGGACCTCTCCTGGATGCAACCGGCTACCCATGCAGCCGTCCCCCTAACGAACTCTGCTTGGTCCGTCCGAGCAATTCTTTCTTCGAAGGCTCTTACCCGTTTATTTAGGTAAAGGTCGATCGGCGGGCAGTACGTTTCCGTTTCCAAGTTTCTTATCGGGGTCGCTTTGTATGCCCCCGCCATTACCCTTAGGCATTTGGTCTGATGTTTCGCCAGCTGGGTTGCAATTCCCCGGGCTTTCCCGTATAGCTCCGTCGGTTGATGATATGCCGATGCGCCGTAGGCTATTGCGCTTCGAATCACCTTCGTATAGATCTCCCGGGCTCGTTCAAAGGAGCAGCCCCATGTCTTTGCCGCTAGCCGTGTTAACGCGAAGGTCTGCGTCGCCATCTTCTTCTTTATGGCCTGAGCGTGGGCCTTAAAGTTGAGTTTCCTGTCTAACCAAACGCCTAGGAACCTTGCGGATTCTGCCGGTTCTAGGACGGTCTCCCCGATCCGGAGAGTCTCTTCTCGTGGCTTCCTTGTCCGGGTAAAGTGCATCAACTCCGTCTTGCTCGCTTCGAATTCCATCCCTCGCTCCCTTGCCCATTCGGTACAGACTTCCCAAGCAGCTTGGAGAGTTCTGCAGTTCTCCTCAGTCGTCTTTGCTACCGCCAGGATATTAGTGTCATCGGCAAACCCGACGGTAATTGCGTTCGGGATCGTTTTTAGCTTGGTGTAGAGCGGCGTAATGAAAAGGAGGAAAAGGATGAGTGAGAGGGGGGATCCTTGTGGCACCCCCGACGTAATGTCGTACGGTGGTGATAACTCATCGTCGAAAAACAGTGAACCCTTCCTCGAGGAAAGGAAGCTATAGATCCACCATAGTAGCCACCGCGGAAGACGCATTTCCCATAAGGTATGGAGCAGCCATCGGTGGTTGACTCTATCGAACGCGCCTTTGAGGTCGAGGAGCATTAGTGATGCTGTGGCCTGGAGTTTCCACGCTGTGTGGACCGCATTTTTCTATACCTATAACTAAAGAAGAATTCTTACTTTATTAAAATAATATAGCCCCGTACAAAATTTATATATATTAAATCAAAATCGGTTCGATTTTCTATATTACTATTACGTCGCAGTTAAATATAATTTTCCCAATCTTTAAATTTACTTAATTCAATTCAAATCCTAATCTAATATATTATACAACTATAAATCGAATACTATTTTACCTTCTTACAATTTAAAATTAAGCCCTTTAGTTAAATAGCAAAAATTACTAAAACTTTTACATTATAATTAACTTCTTATTCATAAACAACTCTCTTAATCGAATAAATTTATAGGCATTTATACTTAAACTCCTAAGCGCTATAGTAGATTAGTAAACTAATAAATAAAATATAATTATAACTTTATTTATAGAAGCCGAATTACTATCCCTGAACTAGAGAGCCAAGGAGGCTATTTACGCTCGCTATCTCTTTAACGAACTTACTCTAGGGTTCGAAAATTAAGAGGCTACGCTTATAAATTATAATAATAAATAAATAATGTAATTTATCGTAAAGGAAGGAATTCAGTTCGTACCTAAATTTAAATATATTAATATATATAAATATTAATTAAAGTAAATATAAGAGAGGAAATTAATAGACGTAGTCTACGTACCTATTAAAGTGTAAATTATAAATATATTTATTAAAAGCTTCCTTCCTATACTTGGTGTGATGGGTAAGTTTAATTAGGTAGAGTAAGTATCTGGACTGTGCACGAAATCTTTTTAGGATTTTAGGCTAAAAGGCTAGCAAATGTAAAGCCAATGCAATGAAAAATTGGCTGCATTACTTTTCTATAGAAATTATTACTATTTGATATGTATTCTATTTGTATTAATAATATTTTGACATTTTTGAGGCATCGGTGCCAAAAGTTCCTCTAAATAAGTATTCGGGACTTCATTCTAAACCTCTATTACTATTTCTCGGAGTCGATTTGAGTTCGGATTTTTAGAAAGTCTATATTTATCCTCAATAAAATCCTTCATCCAATTCCAAACACTCTCGATAGGGTTCAAATTGGGGGAAAAGGCCGGCTAAAAGATGACATTAATTCCTCTTTCTGCAAAATCTTATAATGTATCCGCGGCGGCGTGAGCGGGGGCGTTATTTTATATTAAAATTAGATTGTAGCTATTTTGATTATAAAGACGGATCTAATTATCGATTAAAGGGATATATCGTTCTTAGTAGCTCGCTTTGTAATTGATCCCTAGTCTTTTTCCTAAAAAAGGTTTGGTCCTTTTCCAATCCTAGAAAAGCATTTTTAAAACATCTATTCTCCCTTTCTTTAATACCGTTCAACGATGTAAATTAGATTATATTTTTCTCCGATGCGACGAGTAACGAATTATTTTCGATAAGGGCCTCCGGTAATCCAAGTTTTATTTATTTAAAGGATAGCTTTTTATTATTTTATTATTTAATTAAGATACTCTTAAACCTATTCTAAACGCTTTCTTTAGTTTGCTAGAGAAATAGGCGGCTTTTTTCTTACGATCCTCCGCTGGAATCCGAAGCGATAAAGAATATACTTAATAACTTATATTATAAAGAGAGCCCCAAAAAGGGTTATTAAAAATTAAAGAAAGCTCATCCTTCTTTTTTCTTTGGATGCGGTAACGAATGAAATAAATTCCTCCTCTTATTCTTATAATAAGATAATTGGGTGGCCGGATTGGGGTATAACGTTAGGGGAACGAATTGTAGTTCGAATTTGAAAAGGTAAGAACGAGGTAATTTGGGCGATTTCAGCTTTAGAATAGCCTCCATCGAAAAAAAGGGTTCTAATTCGAGTACGGTTGTCGTCGGTTATTTGGCGAACCCTAGGCCTTCGAGGGCGCCCGCGTAGTTGTGGTATCGTAAGATTTTGGCCTTAGTGTTTTAGTATTGATGGCGATGATGAAATTTGGGGGATTTTTTAGTAGTAGAGAAGGGAAAAGATTTAGTGGTTTCAAGGCCTAAAAAAAAGGTGGAGATCCAAATCGCTAAGAAAAAGAAAGGCGGAATAATAGGTTTTTATTAGCCAAACCTAAAAGAATAGGTGTCTATATAGAAAAGTACCTGACAGGGGGGTTTTTACTTTTGCACGATACCATAGTAGTATATTTAAAGTCTATAGAGCAATTAGGATTTATAGAATTATAGTAATTATAAATTCAATTACGAAAGCTTAATAGCGGAAATATTATTATAGGCTGTCCAAAGAGTATAGAGGATTTTATAAAGGAGGATTTGGGTAATGAATTAGTAAATATAATAGTAAATATAATAAAATAAGACTTTTACGAATAACGGCTTAAAAGCTACCATAATGAGGAAGTAATTTAAGAATAGTATTATTTCTAGCTAGTTTTAGAAGGATTTTAGGGCATTTTAGGGTACTTCTGGGTAGATCTGGCGTAGTTTGTGCACTAGATTTAAGGGGGTATATTAGAGGCTAGGAGATCTACTAGGCGTATACGTACCCAGTTGGATTAGGATATGCGGGATTTTTACCTAGATGCCAGAGCTTTAAGTCTGTAGAGCTAGTCTTATAGATACACACAATCAAGCCACGTTGAACCTATATCGATTATTATTAGTAATATCACAATTCGACTGCCTACCCCGGCCCCACTTCACCCCAGTGTGACGACCCCACTATCGACGTTCCCTCTTTGGCTCTTTCTCCCTCCAGCAAATTCACTGCTTCATCTTCCACTTCTCCCACCAACTTTCTCGCTGACCTCGGCCTTCTAACTCATCTCTTCCCTGCCCTTCACCCATACTAGAGATCCATGCGCCAAAGCATCCCATATCTTTTCGTCTTCGGACAGACACATGACATGACATTTCACTGCATCGACGCCCTTGACAGATTGACCATGACAGTTACACTACCTTCTCAAGTTCTGCCATGGACTCGCCGGGACAATGGCATCGGAACACAAACACGATGACCGCACTTCTTCGGAGACGTCGACTGCCGTGGCAAAACCTCAAAATCTGGTGCCACGCAAGACGGCATTGTTATGGACACACGCCGTGAGTACCCCGGTCTCACGAGTCACGGCAGCGTTGCAGTGCGATGGTGACATGCTTCTGTCATTATGAGGGTAGCACGGGGGACATCTACTCTCTGTGCTCCCGGACGAACGAGTAGCATCCAGACTACAGCGCAAAAGAAAACGAAAAGAAGACAGACTCATGATGCTTCTAAACCTACCTACCCCAGGCAACTGTTCGAATGGAAACAACACGCCGCGATGACAGCAGCAGGCACGAGACTTGACAGGACAATGTTTGACTCAAATCAAGAAAAAAGAAAAAAGAAAAAAACAGCGTCTTGCAAGACTTTTGCCTATCCATCCGCTATGATGTTATTCGACCAATTGACAGTCCATTCTCCAAAGCACCGAACGCCATTCACCCACCCCAATGCATGATCATAGAGGGTTATCTGACAGAAAAAAAGTAAAAAGACAAAGGTTGGAACTGGGTATAGTGTATGTGTCTCATCACCATCGTGTACTGACCCTCCATCTCTCTCTTTTTTCTTTCTTGTGGCCGTTTACCTTTACACTCTCCGCCAACCTCCTCCTTCATCTACCATCCCTTAAGCCATGTCGGTGTCCTTCGAACTAATCACCTCTCGAGTAACCTCCGAGGACTCGACCTTGTGCTTCAGGTCAAAGTCGCTATCGAGGCCCCTCCTCAGTTTCACCTGTCTCTCCAGCAGTGTGACGAGCAAGCCGACCCCTGCGAGACCCAGAAAGATGATCCACGGCGCCCTTAACCCCAGGGCAAACAGTGACACGATCTGGGCCTTGACCTCCTCCCCAAAGCTGCTGACGAACTGGGCCGAAGCATGCTCGTATGCCCGTCCCTGGGTCAGCGCCTCCTGTGCCTCCTTGTTGGTAATGGTGTGCAGGAGAGTTGTCACCTGGGCATTGAAGGCAGCATTGGGGACAGCCACGCCAAGAAGCGACCCAAGTCCACGCAGGAATGCCCATGATCCGGTCGCCGCCGCATTCTCCTTGTCTGTGAGCTCGACCAGCACGCTGGGAAGCGTCGTCGACACAATGATTCCGGATCCGATACCGACAAGGAAGGAGAACACGATCCACTCCGCCACCTTCGCCTTCTCGGCGTACGCGACGCAGAATGCGAATCCGACCAACATGAGAGCAAACCCAGCTTGGTGCATGAGCCGATATCTGCCAAACTTTGCCAGTAACGGTCCACTGACGGCGGACAGCACCACGATCGTCAAAGTGCAGGGCAGGATGAGAACACCCGACTTGGTAGGAGAGGCGTTCAGCACGGCCTGGAAGAACGGTGGCAAGTAGAACTGGTAACCATATGTCAGGAATCCGTGGATGATGGTGACGGTGAAGCCGGCAACGGTTGTCCGGTTGGAGAACACGTGTGGAGGCATGATGGGGTGTTCACACCATCGGCAACGCTCCCAAAGTGCAAAGCAGAGGACCCCTGTGAGACCCGCGGCGCCAGTGCCAAGTACCATTGGGGATGTCCAGGCGTAGGCCGCCCCGCCGAGTGTGAGCGAGAAGAGAAGGAACACAACGGAAGACGTCAACAACCCGATCCCAGGAAAGTCCACTCGCCCGAGTTGCTTAAAGATTGTCAGCTTGCCGCTGTCTGTCGAGCAGCCGCTGCTGACCTGAAGCCACATCCACATCATGACAAGGGATATCGCGCACACCGGGATGTTGACGCCAAAGCACCATCTCCAGCCGACCTCAGCAAAGATGCCACCGAGGACAGGGCCTACAGTGGTGCCTAGAGCATACACGGCAGCCTTGATTGCGACGTAGTGACCTCTTCGTTTGAGCGGAATGATGTCGCAAAGGATCAGCTCTGCAAACAAGTCAATGCCACCCGATCCAAGGCCTTGAAAGATGCGGCCAAAGATCAGGACGGCCCCTGAGCTAGCAAATCCTGAGACGGCGCTGCCAGCTCCAAAGATAACCACCGCCACCATCATGAGATGTCGGCGGCCCCAGATGTCGGCTAGTTGGCCGTACAAGGGCTGGCAAATGATGGACGCTAGCAGGAACGCCGTGGCAACCCATGATGAGTTTGGCCCAAGGCCCAGGTCCCGTGAGATTGTCGGCAGGGCGGTGCTCACCACGCTTCCCTCAAAGGCTGAGAGTAGGATGGGGACACAGAGCCCAATGAAGCACCGCCAGAACCCGACCCCCCGAACCCATTCGTTGGCATTGGCCTCGGCAACTTCCGTCTTTTCGGACAGCGAGACTGTCGATGGCGTGCTTTTCTCATCGAAGCTGGTACAGGATGAGGACTTGAAGTCGTAGTCCTTTTCGCTACGGCAGTATGCTGGGCGCGGCGGTTCCATCATGGCATTCGCCTCCAAAGCGGCTCGGACATTTTCTGGAAGATTCGTCGAGGATGCGTCTGGCGTTCGCATTGTATTCGAATGATCGGAACGTGTGTGGTATACCTGTTGAAGAAGGGACAGGAATCTTGCTCCTGGATGGATAAAAGATATGATGGTTGAGGACAAAAGGATTGAGGTAAGTCCCCAGAATTAACAGCCATCACCGTTGCCTTTAAAACACCCCGTCGATGCAAATTTGCTTTGAGTCAATGTTCAACATTGAGGGGCATTTGTCCTGCGATCTGTGGAGCGTTGTCTTGACGATCCAATGACACCGTCACAGACTCTGCATTTTTTTCCTACCACACCAAGGCCAAGGGCTATCTTCCATCACATCACTCATGGCAGGGACGAGTGCACATCCACGAGGCGAGTTGCAAGTACAGTGGTATGTACTTTAGGTGTGATGAGAACTTTCTCTTTCGTTGGGTCGGTTCCTTGGCCCCCTACCACGGTTGGAATGCTACCTATCTCACCATGGTCGTCCACGATCGACCTCATCTCCTCCTTCACCACTCATCCCCATCCCCGCGGCCAGACCAAAGCACTCTCTCCGTGCAACTACAGGACCGTCGGTATGGCTGTTGTTGACGGTTGACGGTCACCTTGGGAACGTTGTGCTGCCTGATACAAAGAGTACTGCTCCTTCCTATCCTCTCTCAGATTCAAGGACTTTCTGCCACGTCCGTGGACCGGTGATACAACGAGTCGAGGAAACCAAGAATTTACATCTGTCATGGACTGTAGCCCAATGGCTTGCCTTGGCTACACGGGTCTCTCAGGGTGGCCAACTGTTTACCTAACAGTTACTGACTGCCCTGGGCATCAGCATTGTGCCGTCATCAAGCGGCGGCTACGACAGTGTACTCAATGGCCGTCAGTCCGTCACGGATGACAATCTGAACGAAAAAGTGACAGATTTGAGAGGTTGTTGTACCCAGCACCCCCAGTAGACTCGGAAGTACCCTCGTCTACCACTCGATATGCCGACCTTTACATCATCTAAGCTCTCTTCAGCTTCGAGTCGAAACAGGCAGTAGCTCGCGGCCGAGTGCCGTGGAGCCTCTTGAAGTTAGCTCTGTGCCTATGTTTTATCGTCATTTGGTCTTTAGCTCTTCCTGGGATTGAACTCATCGATTCTGGGACAAGGCTCGAACAGCCTCGAGCTGAGTATGACACAAGGCATTATCTACGAATCAGAATCAGCTGGTCCCTTGCAGCACCTGCCAGCTTGGCATGTCAATGGTATTTTCATTGGGTACCATTACTTCGACCATCCCTATAGCCACAAGCATCTAGATCCTTTAAACCTCTGATCACATTGCCAGTTTCTGGGAAAAGCTTCCCTGCTTTGTGCTCTTGGTATAGCAGAAGCTTTCTCGTGTGCCTAGGGTCGGAGAATTCTCACCAGGGCGAAGTTCTGACTCAGTAGAACGTCGTATTCTATGAGTCTTCTGTTATACCAGGTTTGGAACAGTCTCGGGGATACAAACCCAACAGGCGAGTGCTTTTTTCCTGCCGACTTCGGAAGCCGAAAACCCTTGAGCTCGAGCCTAGGTCACAGGGGACGGTGATCTCTTGGATATCGGTTCTCCTTTCCCAACGGTCAGGATCTGGCCCATCACGCGTCAGGCGAGTAGGACACAGAAGCTCCCAAAGGGGTCCCGGCAGTCCACATTAGGAGAAGATCATAGTCCGTGGTGGATGTTGTCATACCTCAAAAATCATCTGAAACATCTGTTTCGCAGCTTCTGCATGTCTCAGAGTTCGTGATGTCGAGGAGGCATTTTCTTTTCCCGGAGCTATCCGTCACTTTGAGAATAATCAAGACATCCACTTCACGGTCGTCTATGAGGCACGTTTGGATGTGATAATAGCGCGCCGTCCGCTCTTTTCACTTCATTCCGTAACACAGCATCTACAGCACATGACGCAGCACACTTTTTCCTTTGCTCTAATCCACCTGCAGCATGACCGTAACACTGATATCAGACACTTGGTATCACGACACGACCCCCAAGACTCGAGGCTGACTACAGGTCGCAGATGTGCTTAGTCCAGTCCGACCTATATGATCGCAATATGTGTGATAACATCACTCACATCATCTTCATGCAACTTATGGAGTCGCCGCAGGACTGTCAAGCCTACAATCTTTTATACCGATACCAGACATGGACGCCGTTTGGGAGGCGCAGTGGTTGTTATCATGACACCGCATGCTATTCGGCTCTTTCGGGAACCCAATCGGGTAATGCGGATGCAAAATCACTCGGGGTTGAGCTGCAGGTGTATGACTGTGAAAATCGGTGAAAGTAGGGACCGTGTCCAACTGATCGTATCCAACAGGATCCCCCCGGGCCAATCTTCACAAATATGCGAGAGACCCGGATGAAGATCTCCCGTTAAAATGACTTAAAAGCTTGTAAGTGATCACATTCCTTTGCAGATTGGGCACTCAGTGATTACATCTCCTGTCTCACCTGGTTTCCGTTGCAAATACTCATTTCCCAGTGAAGTTGGTGCTTCTTAGCATTAGTAGGATTGGCTTTGTTTCCTTGAAGCCCCTTAGCTCACTTTGTCTTCTTCAGCTCGTCAGAGATGCCTTGTTGGCCAAAGGCACAGTTTGGCCCGGAACAATACGGCACAGAATCGCAAACCCAATAACTCTATTTCGCCAAGGCTGGGGAAAGTCATCATCAACCCCGGGCCCCGACCATGATATCTCAGCTTTCAACCGGCGATGCGCCACCGTCTGACGTCAACATCAGCCTTTTCTCCATTTGACTGTATCATTCTTGATACCTATAAAAGAACCCAGGGACTGGTTGGTGAAAAGACACGCGGGCTGCTGACGTCGGTGAGTCTCTTGCTTCCCCCAACAGCCCTCTACCCTGCCTTCATGCGGGAGTCCGTTAAAGATCATGAACACGCTCCGACGACCTGAATCCTGAAAAGTGCTTCAACATTGCCGACTTCCGGTAGGGGCTACCCTCCGAGCTCGACGAAATCAGGCCAAGGAAGTCCCAAGCTTCTTGGCATACCGCACATGAAGAGGGCCGGTTCATCTGTAAGGTACGGCTGCGCCAACATCACGGAATGAGCTATCCGAACGTTCCCCTCTTCAACCTCCAGATAAGATATCCAATTTGTTGGTCTCAAAATCCCTCCCTCTTTTACTCGGTGCTGGTGGTTGGAGGTCCGTCCGTCTTGGCCTTTCTCAATGGGGTGGTAAGCATAAGTCAACATTCCACCCCGAGGGCCGTATGGGGTAATGAATCGGATCTAGTCTATCTACATCCGCCCCGGCCCCCGGCCAGCCGCAGCCGCACATGTTCAATGTCAATCCTCCCAAGTTCCCAAGAAGGACTTGCTGACCGGCCTGACCTGACACACACACCGTACCCATTTACTTCATATCACCAATTCAGGTTTACCCAAGAAGTGACGGTCATACGGGAGGGAAACTTCAGCAAGCCGGATCATCGGGAGGGGTAAGTGTTGTTGTTCATGATCCCCAGGTTATCTTTCTTTGCTCTTACCTAACGTCCTGACATCCTTTGAATGGAAACGAGAAAACCTTTTTGCAGAATGAGACGCCAATTCGTCAGACTCGGATGAGTATCTTGCCAATGCCAAGTGGTAGGATTATCATTGTCATTGTCATGTAAAGGAACCTGGAAAGCGATGCCAAGTTCTGCCCTTTTTCGCGTGGAAGTACGTCGTACAACATGAAGTCTGCAAGTACCCACTGACATCGACAGTTAGAATGTTAGATTCAGGGACAGCTTGCTTGATCCCAGCCGACGACCTCATTTGAGGGATCAGGAAAGGTGACTGACTTTCGTCCGTCTTACGGGACGTTAGTCGATGTTCCCAAATGGCGGAATCTGGTGATACTGCAGCGTTTTTAGTCATTTACTCGTTTTTTTCTTTTCTCGTTTCTTCAACCTTTTGATAAAGGGCTTACACATACCTTACCTACTACAAACGCAAACCCTACATGCAAGACAACCGGTCAACCGGTCAAGTTCTCAAGGAGATCGATGTCCTTCAGAGTTCAGTTCATCATCTGATTATTTCCTTAACGGCCTCTCTGATGTCAAGTATTGCCTAAGCGAGTACGTACGGGAACCTTCATCTTCCGTTAACACTGGCCAGATGGATAAGTCTCCCATCATGTGTTACTTACATCGTTTGCATGCCGTCCGGTCAGAGGTCAGAGGTCACTCAAATGGGTACCTAGGTAAGGTAAGTAGGTAGTCGTTTCCGCCGGAGTCAAACAAGGAAAGGATACTTATGCTCGGATGACAGACAACCCGCCGCTCGCCGGTCGACGGGCGCACGTTCAACCAACAACCTTAGGGCACTCACTCAGTGTTCAGTTAGCAAACTTCCTGGACTCGGTTCAGGTTTCCATTTTCCACTTCCCAAGTCGGCCAAGCTTTTGGTCTGGTCTGGATTTCTCAATCTCCGATCCTCCAGTCCTCCTTTCTCCCAGCCCCTCCCTGGCCCTGACATAATGCTACAGTATCTAGTCCTCATCGCCAAGCATCCCATGATCGACATTAGTGCACAGGGGAGGCCAGCGCTAGCGTAGCGGGAGAGCAGCGCTGCAGCACGACATTATCACGACTTACACGCATCTTTAGGGAGAGGCCTAGATCTAGATCACCGCTCACATCTAGAGTATCCATTGTTTTGCCAATCTCCCCACGTGCCTTGCCTGAAACAGCGTCAAGTTGCATTTCATCCTCAACCCCATTTGCACATCGGAAGTGGTAAGCGATTGAGACAGAACCTACTAAAATCAGATAAAATATTCATGTTTGCAAACTCGGAGTCGGCGACCAGTGACTGCCCAGATGCCCGATGGTGTTCTTGACTTCCTGAATAGGGGCAGGAGGTAGGGCTGGGTCCCCGGACCTGGCTCCCTAAATGAGCCGGCGCGGATCATTTCATTGGTCTAGTCCGATCTTGGATCTAGACTACATTCCATACCAGCAGGGTGTCAAGTACCTCCCCAAAGGGGGTAGTGTAGTACAAGACGGTGAGGAAGCCACAAACGGCTTCATCTTCCATCCATCCGTCCCCCATCGTCATCCGGTGAATCAGCTATCCTATTCTTAGCCAAGTCCTGAGTCGTTCGTACACCGAGTTTCTAATCTGCTGACTTGTTGGAGGCTCAATAGCTTGCGTTGGTGTGTGTGGGGAGGTGAAGGTGAGGCACCTTGAGGGCTGCGGAGTGAGGGGAGGGGTGAGGAGGGGATCGAAATCTTGGGATGACTTTCTTGTGTGTCTTGTGCAGAGGCATGTTATGACCCGGTTGGGCAGGCAAGGCATCTGCCAAGGGAAAGAGCAAGGAGGAAGGACAAAAGAGGGTCTATATAAGACACTTGCCGTGTCTTCTTCGATGTTGTCATTTCCCTTCACAATCCAAACATCGCCCTTCTCGGACCGATCGGCTATCAGAATCCAGATAACACACAGCTCCAGACTGTTTTGTCTCACTTTGCAATCTTCCGAGTTCCGGCAACTTCCTATACATTCATATCATATCAGCTTGTCCCATAAAGCCCACCACCGGTCCGGGCCAAAACATACTTTACCACGTGCAACTTCCATCAAAGCAAGCCTTCCTACGATACATCTTGTCAGTGTCACACAAGTCACACAATGATTGCCACCAAAGTCCTCCTCCTCGTCGGCATGGCCTTCAGCGCCACGACCGTCACCGCCAACCCCGTCACCAAGACCTGCCACAATGTCAAGTGTCCCGCCCGATGCGCGATGATCAAAGGCAACCCTACCTGCATGGGTGGTGGCCCTCCCAAAGTCGTCGAAGCCGCCTCTAAGGAATCTCCCTGTGACATCATGCGCTGCCCCGTCCGCTGCGAAGTCATCGACAACGAAGCCGTCTGCGTCGGCCCTCCGTCTGAAGATCTCGCCAACGGCAACACTCTCTCCCCCGATGCTGACAACACCTCCGTCAAAGGCGAAAAGTGCGGTGTCACAACCTGCCCCTTCGGGAAAACCTGCTGCAACTCCTCCTGCGGCCTCTGCGTCTCTCCAGACATGGCATGCACTCAACAAATCTGCGAGCCGGCCGGCTTGCAATGTGGCCCCAGTGTTTGCTCCGGAGCCACACCTTTCTGTTGCAACAAGAGCTGTGGAATCTGTACCGCTTCGGATGGGTTCTGTACCCAGCAGCTTTGCAACCGCGGGTTTACCCCCAGCGAGAGCAAGAGGAATGAGGAGGCTGATAAGATCAAGCTGGGAAACCAAAAGTGTGGCAAGGGAACGTGTGCTAAGGGTATGGAGTGCTGCAATTCTAGCTGCGGGATTTGTGTGAAGCCGGGGGGTATGTGCACGCAGCAGTTTTGCCCCAGTGCGGATGTGGAGAGTGTTGAGGAGGCTTGAAGGGCTTGAAGGGCTTAAAAGGGCGTGGTGGTGGTATGGTGGCATAGGGGAAGAGGGAGTACGTGGCTGACTGGCTGGCTCTGGGTGAGACGCTGCTGGCTACCAAACGGGAGGGTTGTGGTTGGTGTTGTGATTACCTAGGGTACGGGTACCTCGCGTTGGAATGGGTGAAGATGGTGGGAATGGCGGGTGACCGGCATTCAAAGGTTGGAGAGGATGTAGAGGAGGGTGGGAAAGGGTTTGATGATCACATTCCTTTGGGTTGGCTTTTGTCTTATGTGTTCTTGTGGGGGGCACACCGGGAGTATAAGGGAGGGTCACGGTGGTTATGGGCAAGGAATCACGTTACTAGATTGGTGGGAGGTTTCTTTTGATGGTTTTCGAATGCTTTGTCCTCTATATAGTTGGAGGTGATGTTCTATGTCGGTATTGCGTTAGGTATGCTTGGAAGACAATCAACTTTGTTGTCTCCCATCCTTGTACATTGATGTGGTGGTTTTGGCTGACCGTTCGTGGCCTCTTCAAGTCGTGAAGTTGCTTACATATGTCGATTGATGTTTCGAACACATCGGGTCTTACCAAGCATGGTAACCGGACGGGGCAGCAATGACCTGATGAGATGTACCTATCAAGACTTTCTATCAGCCATCAGCACTTCGTCGTATGCCCTGGAGAGTAAAGTTCGGGCATCACTTAACCGTATCAAGCACCAGAGGGGACTGGTCAAGGACAAAACCAATACTTTCGACGTTTACCGTTCTCTGTAGTCTTGAAATGGCTGTCGAGGAGGCGGCCTGTCGGGTGGCTAGTGTAATCACTTTGTAAGCTTCAACCTTCTGTCGTGTGGCGCCCTTCCCTCTCGGTGCAGAAGCGATCAAGGAGTGAATGGACAGTTCCGAAGCCCTTGTCGGGCATTGCGCAGCAGCTCCATCCTCTTGCGGTGGTCTCGGTTTGACTTGGAAGCGAATGCGTGTTCGGAGTTCGAAGTGATAGAGGACGGCGGTAACCAGATGAAATCATGCAAGTTCGCAGTTGGACACGAGAACAGCGAACGAAAGGAGGAGGTTTGGATGCGGAAATGTGATCGTGAGGTGCCCGGCCTTCAATAACGAGGCGAAGCAATGGTGGAATTGCCTGGACTGGTTTTTTGCAGGAAGAAGAATCAAGGGGAGAGACGCAGTCAGGTAGAAATCCAACAAAAGATCGGTGGTCGGCCCGACCGTGACTTCCACACCATGTGAAGTTTCAGGGTGGAAGGATCGTCGCGGTGGAACGAAAGGGCAGGCGCTACAGGCAACGGACTGCGCATTGTACCTTCCATGTGGGCGAGTGGTCGGCACCTGCCCCAGAGCACCCGGCAGCTGGAGCTTGAGACCTTGGACCATATAAGCCCGCAGGTCAGACGTTCCAACAACTCCCAGTAGCGGACGTGGTTGGCGCGTGGAGCCAGAAAATCGTGGGTTTTCGTAGGTGGCACCTTGACTGGACGGGTTCGACCCTGGTCATGGGCCGCTGAGCTTTTTGTTTTTTAGTCTTCTGTTTTCCTTTCGTCTTTTTACAAATGTCACTTAAGTCTGATTCAATTATTTCTCTACCGATTGATGTCTTTTTGGGGATGCTCGAGCTTGGTTTTGGCATCAAGTGTGCGGAGTGTTCATGCAGAGATTTGCGACATTTGTTGTCGCGATCGTCTCGTTTGCACCCATCACGGGATTTAAACAATGACGACCCTCGGTTGGCAGAATCGCCGTTGATACTCCAATTATTTCTCAAATTATCATTTCAATGATTCTTCTTCATCTTGTCAGCTTCATGCATTTTTTCTACTGCTTTCCTGTATCAACTATTCCTGTTCGGCTTCAAGCCCCGTAAGTTCCACCGACATGCACCTGCTCCTCGGCTCAACTAACGCTCATCATCTTCAAAGTGGCCATTTCCCCATTTCAGGATTTGATTGACTCATAATGCTGCTTGACAGGGTCTTGCCCGTTGTTACATCAATGTCATAGACCAAAGAGTTATCTTCTGATCAAGGCGGTTGAACACGTCTACTTGTAAACTGGCGGCTCAAAACACTCCTCAAGGAGGACTTGATGATACGGAATTAGCGAGGGATTCGGTGATATTTAGACGTATGGTTTATATCACCACCTTTTCCGCAGTGCATTACGTGAGTAGGGCTCCTTGTTTCGGAGTCTCCATGGTTTTTGTCTGAGGTCTCCAGTCTTCTTGTGTTGTTTTCTAGAATGTTACACCGAGTATATCCGCCCAACAAATAACGGCTAAATTCTCCGTCTTCATCAACACATCGTCATGTGCGGCCAATTAGCTGCTAGACATTCGGTGTAACATCATAGTTGGGGCTATAGTATATAGGTCTAGAGAGAGCCTCTTGTAGCAGAATTTGGATGTTGGACTCCTGGTGCATGGTTCTGGAAGAAAAGTGACGAATGCGGAAGTGGTCACGCCGTGATAATGTGGTATTCCAAACTCTGGTCGTCATCCCAACGCAACGCTAACCCGGCAATTGGGCGTCGATCCAATATGGATAAGATCGGTTCGTAGATGCAGGTCACGGTGTCACCAGTCCCCCACACAGCCAAGACTGGAACCCGGGGTAAAAGCCTTGCCGGGTGATGGGATGTCGACGCCTGGGGATATATAGATAAGGTACAGCCGGGCCTCTACTACTTCACGTTCTGTTGATATTGGCCTGCAACGTTCGACCGTGAAGCAAGAATTGTCACCCGGAACGAAGAAATGCGAACCACAACCTACTTTCTCGTCGGAACTGCGGTTGCTGGGAGTGGACTGGCTGCTCCGCTGGTAGGCTCTCGCCAGGCCGACATTTGCGCCCCGGTACCGTCTCCGTTTCCGACATGGCAACAACTTCCGACCCAGCTGTCTCTCCCGGACCCGCTGCTCCCCCTCAAGTACACCACCACGGATAACGTCAAGGATATTCTGGTTGGGAAGGGTTCGAACCGCGTCCAAACACCTGAGCAATGATACAAGTGCCGACAGCCCGAAATCATGCAACTGCTACAGGAGTACCAGCATGGTTACTACCCGAACCATTCCCAAGAAAAGGTGGAAGCTACTCGTAGCGGCAACACGATCAACATTGCGGTCACAGCGGGCGGGAAGACGGGCAAGTTTAAGGCCACGATCTCGTCGCCGTCTGGGGCGTCGGCATCGAAGAAGGCACCGGTTGTGATCAACATTGGCGGCATGCAGAACCAGCCGTATTTGAGTGCGGGGATTGCAATTGCACAGTTCGATTATACGTCGGTGGCGCCGGACAGTAACTCGAAGACCGGGGCGTTTTGGGACATCTACAAGGGGAGAGAAATTGGTAAGTTGGAGTCCCAGCAGAGTATATGCTTACCAGATGGACGCGAGACTGATGCCAGCAGGCGTCCTGACGGCCTGGGCCTGGGGTTTCCACCGGACACTCAATGCGCTGAACATAACTGTCCCCGAAATCGGCGCCAGCCGGGTCGGCGTGACGGGATGTTCCCGCTTGGGCAAGGGTGCTCTTGCAGCCGGCCTCTTTGACAGCCGCATCACGCTGACGATGCCCATGTCGTCCGGGGTGCAAGGACTCGGACCATACCGATATATCGGATTTGGCGGACGGGGCGAGAATCTGGAGAACAGCAAGTCCCCTCGAATCCTGTTGCTGTGGTCATGACATTGCTGACAATATGCTCCAGTTCCTCGGTGTTGCCGTTTGTGCAAAAGGTCTTCTTCGGAACTCCGACGACCAAGGACTACAACAATCTTGGTAGCTATGGGCCGCCCAGTCGACTGCTCTTCCCAAGGCGCAATGAGAAAACTCGGAATATTCAAGGGAGATCGTGGACTGTTGCGTCGGATCAAGGGGGTCGGTGGTCAAACTCGGGATGTTGTTCGTAGCTATCGTGAGATCGAACCTTATAGCGAGTTGTTGCAAGTCGTATCCATGTCATAATTGCGTTGCTGGACCAGTTCGAATGAAAGATCCGCATGGCAGTTTGGTGACTCCGTTTTAACATGAAGAAGAAAGTGACAAAGTTGGGAGCTTGGCTTGTGAAACTGAAGTTTCAAGGTTGACATTAGCAGAGACGTTCTCTGATTGGCTCAATTCTTATCCGGCATCGGCAGTCTCCATCGGCGTCTCCACCAGCACCTCCAGGGGCATCCACAGGAGCTCCCCTCCCGTGCTCCCGAGCTTCCAGAAAGTGTTGATTCCAATTTCCAACATCATCGCTTTTTCCTCTTTGTTCAGTTCTCACTGCTTGGCTTTGTCTCGAAGGCTGGAGCTACCACATTGCACTAGCCTCTAGAACTAGCTTCCTACTAGCAACCTCTTTTTCCCCGGATCATCGACGTCAACTGCCTCATTCCCGTACGATCCGATCCGGCCTGCCATGCCTTGAAGGATGCTGCTCTGCCTCTGCTGATTCGGATTTGGACTTGGAACTGCTGCTGGAAACCAGAACACATTCGCGATGGATACGCTCCAGCACGGGGCCAGAGGTAAGTCTTCTATCCCGTCTTGTCTGCTGAACATCAGTCCGGCCCGTGATCTGCCAATTGACTCTTGCTAACCTCCAGCTTCTCCTGCAGACCTCCCCTGGTCCTCGATCCCGACCGATCTCCTCCGCGCCGAGCTCTCGAAACGCGACGATGCCACCGACACATCCCGCCCACAATGCGGTTCAGGGGAGAAGGGCGAATACAACACAGGGCTACATGTCTTTGCGCTCGTCTTGATCCTCCTCCTGAGCACCTTGTGTATGTTGGACCGACCTGTTTCCCTATGGTTTCTATCGTACACTGGTACTGACTGCTGGACGACACAACAGCCTGCGGATTTCCTCTCTTCTCGCGCCGAGCCATGAAAGGCAGCAAACTACAACGAAAGATCATATTCTTCAGCCAGCACTTCGGCACCGGCGTGTTGATGGCTACTGCCTTCGTCCACTTGCTTCCAACAGCCTTCATGTCCTTGACCGACCCTTGCTTGCCATATTTCTTCAGCGAAGGATACAAACCGCTCGCCGGCTTGGTTGCCATGACTGCTGCCCTGGTCGTTGTCGCCCTCGAATCATACCTTACCACACGCGGTGCTAGCCATTCGCATTCGCATACCATTTTCGAAGACGAGGAAGAAAACGGCCATGCACACCATGGTGCCGAGCACGGCTTCAAGGATAGCCCCGAACGTATCGCGCTCCAGGATCGTGAGGTCACTCAAGGCCTCATGGGACGGCAGTCTCCCATTGCCAGCACCAGCGCCCAGCCTTCTCCTTCCGACCAGCCCCGAACTTCTCGAGACAACGACAGCGCTAACTCCCTTGATCTCGACTTGACCTTCGATGAGCTCCAACCGATCCCAAATACCGATCATGACCAGCTTCTCGAGCCCGAAAACACCAGCTCTTATAGGACGGGACTCAAGCCTGCGGTGGCTCCCGATATGCCAAACCCCGAAGAACAGAAGCGCATGTTGTTGCAGTGTTTGCTCCTCGAGGCTGGTATCTTGTTCCACAGCGTCTTTATTGGAATGGCCTTGTCGGTCGCAACCGGGCCTCCGTTTATTGTGTTCCTGATCGCTATCGGCTTCCACCAGACGTTCGAAGGCCTTGCCCTGGGCACACGTATCGCCGCTATCCACTTCCCTCGCTCCTCTCCACGGCCATGGCTCATGGTGTTAGCATTCGGCACTACCACCCCCATCGGACAAGCCATAGGATTGCTTATCCACACTTTTTACGACCCCATGAGCCAAACAGGTCTCCTCATGGTCGGCTTCATGAACGCTATCTCCAGCGGTCTTTTGTTGTTTGCTGGCTTGGTTCAGTTGCTCGCCGAGGACTTCCTCTCAGAGAAGAGTTACGCAACGCTTCATGGCCGGAAGAGACTGCATGCCTATTTCGCTGTAGTTGCAGGGGCTGGGCTCATGTCTGCCGTTGGCGGCTTTGCTTGAAGTACAAGCCTTCCGTTTGTTTCTTGTTATTGTTATATGGGCATGTTTCGCATCTACTTGGGGTTGCATCATTAGCGGCGTTTTCTTTTTGTGTAGAGTATTTCTGCCTTCAGCGGTACCATAACAATCTTGAATTATACTTGTTTTTTCCATACCTTTTGCCTTCCGCCTCTGGAAGGATGCGCGGATGCACTCCTCCTCTGCTTGCCCCTAGCACCCAACTTGTTGGAGACGAAGCTCGGGACCTTCCACATATGGGACTTTATGAGGGCCAACGACGTGATGACAGCCACGAGGTTCGAGGTATCATCCGCAAGAAATCCCTGGACAAAGGTGGAGGGCAGTGATGGCAGGGCATACAAACAGAAACGCCACTCTACGTTTTACTCCCTGCTAGGTAAGACCCAGTTCTGCAGGATCGTATTCCAGAACCAACATGCATCAGACCGAACAAACCGCATCAACTATCGCAAAAATCATCGGTCAACCACAGGCTCATGTGCTGTTCATATTAACAGCACAAACCACCGCCGCAGCCGATAGACTCTCGGTCCAACCAATCGCATCAACGACGGTAATGTGGAATGTCGTTGGACTCACCCCGTCAGCACCTCGCAGCAAGTTTAGCCTCCTTCCTAAAAGAGCCGCTTGATGTTACTTTCCGGTACAGTATCGCCTTGAATATGTTGAACACCTACCCGATACTCACCAACAAGCCGGTTCTAGGCAACATCGAACTTCCAACAGGCCCTATATTGGCACGGAACTATGCTGTCCCCGCTTGTTCGACAAGGGAACCACGTGGGTGAACGTGAATAAGCTTTGGTAAGAAGCGAGTTGTACAAGCTTTTCTGCCGCATGCCGAGCAATCTAGTGTTCTTCCCCGCTAAGGTTGATATTCCACTTGTCTTTAGCTGACATGTTTGCCCAATGGCCATGGATCCCAATCCCATTGTAAGCCAGATCAGATACAGGGATTCGGGTTGAAGCTGCTCGAGGCGGGCAGGTTGAAGGATTAGGAGGAGGGGCGAGTTGCTCGGTATGGCTGCTGGGACTTTGGGGATATAAGACGGCCCCCGAGCTTACGTTCATGATCACTCTTTTCTTCGCTATCTCCCTTTAACAGCATCTCTTTCAAACTCATCCACGATCCTACGATATGCGTGTCAAGGCGATTGGCGTTGCGGTTGGCTTATGCGCCGTTGGCGCTCTAGCCAAGGAGAAGGCAGTCGATATGTCACGTCATGGTAAGACTTGAGCTGATTGTGAATTCTTGATCAAGACTGACACAAGACCATTTCAGCCGAGTATAAATCTGGAGCAGTAATGGATCGAATTATGGCTCACAAGTTCGTATGTATACACCTGCATTCTTTACAGCCAAAAGCCACCGAGACTTACTGACAGATATCAGGAACAATGGGAAGCCAAACTTGCTAGCGGCGCCCTCAACAGCACCCAATGGCCTCGTCTCAACTATACCAAGTGTGTCAATGGCATTGCTGAAGCCATCCATGGCGATGCTTTGCACACTTTCAGGTGCAAGAACATGGACCTGTACGACTTCATCAACCACGCGACTCTCGGCTCACCATTGGCAACTGAGGAGGGAGCGACTGGTAGTTCCATTTGGGGCTGGACTGACCCCAAGTTCGGCAGAGAGTTTATCGGTAGGTCCATTTCCCCGTGGCGTCGAGTCATGAATGCATACTGACTTCAGCAGCTGTGGGAATGTATCAAGGAACTGGCCTGGCTGAGATCTTACCCAAGGGTAGACTGCTCAATCTGGGTTTCCTGTAAGTGACTTCCACCACCTTCGTGTGGGCGCGATCATCTCTAACGGAGGTCGGATAGTCCTGCCCCCGCAGCACTTGGCAAACATGCTCTGTGGAAGGAGATCCGTTCATACAAGAACTATATGATCATTGGCAGTGAACTGGAAGACCACGGAATCCAGATCTTTGACATGCGAAAGGTAAGGAACTGCCTGTTCTTTCTTTTCCAAGCCTTTGGTTCATCGGCTAACATTGTACAAGCTCCTCACGATCAACCCCAAGAAAGCGCCCGTCACCTTCTCTGTCGACGACGTCACGGGCCACTTCAAGGACTTGCCTCTTGGCCGTACCCACAACGTCGCCATCAATGAGGAACTTCAGTACGCCGTGTCCGTCGGCGCCGCTCCTCGTGAAGACGTTTGCGGTGCCGGTCTCATCTTCATCGACCTCAAGGACCCATCCAAGCCCACGAGACTAGGTTGCAATGCTCAAGACGGTTATGTACACGACGTAAGTCCAGTCCCGAACCCTGACACCCCCCTTTCCCCCTCAAAACCCCAAAGGCCAAGGAACCAGCTCACTAACTAACAATCTTCCCTCCCAACAGGCCCAATGCCTCAAATACCGCGGTCCCGACAAGCGCTACCACAACCACGACATCTGCTACGGCTACAACGAAGACAGCCTCACCATCTACGACGTAACCGACAAGCACAACTCCTCCATAATCTCCCGCACCTCCTACGACGGCGCCGCCTACACCCACCAAGGCTGGGTGCTCGACCCCTTCAACCAAGAATACCTCCTCCTAGACGACGAGTACGACGAGGAAGACGGCGTCGGCCCGGCCAAGGACGGGTACCCCGTCACTTACATCTGGGACATCCGCGACTTGCAGAACCCGAAGAATACCGGCCTCTATAAAGCGACGAATCGCGGGATCGATCATAACCAGTATGTTATTGATGGACTGAGTTATCAGAGTAGCTATGGCGCGGGCGTGAGGGTTTATGATGTCTCGAGTATTCCTGTTGATCCGACAGGACAAAGTGTGTGTGAGGTGGCGTATTTTGATATTTATCCTGAGGATGATACAGAGCCGGGTGAGGGTGTCGTTGGGTTTGCGGGCAGTTGGGCGAGTTATGGGTATTTTAAGAGTGGGTTTATTGCTGTCAATACGATTGAGAGGGGGGTGTATTTGGTCAAGATTACGAGGAGGGAGAGGTGTAAGAGGGTGCGTGCTTAGGGTGTTGGGGATTGGGATGGGGGATGGAGAAGATGGAGGTGAGCGCGCAGGTTTGGTGCCGGCGGACGATTGAGGATCATGTACCCTAACCCTGAACACCGAAAAGGGGTCGTTGAAGTGGATGTCTGCCGTCTGTCGAGTCAGCAACATGGGATCTAACACGGTGGATCCCATACATAATTCTGGAAACACCGGAAGGAGTGTCTTCGGATTCTTCCATCTGTAACATTTGATGATGCGATTTTGTGGTAGGCAAAAAGTCAGCCGCCGAAGGATTCGGAGGCTCGGAGCCAGACGCCGGCCTCCAGCAACACCAAGGAAAAAAAAGTATCGAAACATCATCACATGTCTCGTTCGACCATCCTGGGACTCGAACCCAGAACCTTTACCACCGGAAAGTAACGCGCTACCAATTGCGCCAAACGGCCATTGTTGTATTATTTTTTGTGGAAGATCGGGTTATGATGACAGCCCTCCAGGCGCGCGAGATGCTACCTAGCCGCATCCGCGACGCCGGATTGACCATCTATCGAGATAGGAAGTCGTAGGCAGTCAATGTTGACTGTACCTTCCTCGAGGTACTGGTTAGGGCTCGAATCGCCGGTCGTCCCTATCCACGAGTGTGTTTCTATCGGATAATGTTTTTCCCAATCGGACGAGTTTGATGCCAATCGATGGAATACATGAGCGTCGTCAGCAGCGGAACGGTGTCTTCGAAACATCACCCATCAACAACGCGTCGATACCACCTCTGTCGTCGCCCGTCGCCTGTTTTCGTCTGTCGTCGTCATCAGTGTTATCGCAATCCTCGACTGAATGTTTCAAAGCTCTCGAAGTTGCATTGCCATCTTGCCTATTTCATCGAAGGACACTCCGACCAGGACGGAAAAGGGCAGGGCAAGGGCAGGGCAGTTGGGAACAAGCTTCCTTGAGGTGCACGCAACCCCTTCGACTTTCTCAATGCATCGGGATAGAAATGAAGCCCAATCCCGAGAAACCGAAGAGCCGCATTTCATATAAAACAGACATGAACCCGGAAGAGGTTGACAACATGGAAGTGTTTTCCGGGTTACACCTGGACGATATGCCAGGTGAACTCTGCCGGTGGTTGACCTCCATGCCAAGCCCCTGGGGCTGCATTGACTGGATCCGACAGGGCCTCACAGCGCCGCTGCGTGGTGTTTCAGGGGTTGGCCGACAGGGGTCCAGGGGCTGGCCTCCAGACGTCCACAGCGCATTATTCCCCACACACTCGACACATCACCAGGGGTCACCACTTGGCGAACTACCACTCTCCCAGTCCTCACCAGAACACCACACGAGATGTGAAACTCGAAGATTTTCGTCGTGGTGTGGCTTATTCCGGATCCATGGGATGGATGCCCATGGACTGCTGGATTCGGTTGCAGTCTGGATTTGGGAGTGTCCAATGCGTGTCCCGCTACCTCCCCTTCGGAACCGAGAAAAGCTTGGAATTTCTTCCCTCTTTTCCTTTTTTATACCACCATCTGTTTGTTTACTGCGAACAGCAGAACAAGGTTGATATTCGACCTTTTTTCTACATTCTTTCTTTTTTTTTTCTTTTTACAGCCCGGTGCTGGACATTCTTTCCTTTGCTACCCTTCATCACAGCAGGCCTGTCTTTTCATATACACTCCTTGCTGGCTCAAGGGGCCTACGCAGATTCGGTGGAAAAAATAAAGACAGTTAGAGGCAAGACGATATGGATGGATATTCGAGACATGACATCAGGAGATGGGTGGACGACGTTCGACTACACGCTCGCAGTGATGTCTTAGGCGGCGAAGACGAAGTGTTCAAACTGGGCGAGGAAGTGGCTCTGGAGGCTGGTGACAAAGACAACCTATCGACAAGGTCAGAAGTGGAAATCGGAATCATCGATGGTCCAGTTGATACCAAGTCAACAGAGTCGGTATCAGTAGCAGGGTCAACACCAACGGAACCAGAGACAACAACAGAGCCCCCGACGTTTACCCAACCCCTTCCGCCACCCGCCAATTTCACCATCAGCACCATCACCGCATCCGCACAACCGCAGCCGATAATAACACTCACGCCCATTACACATTCAGCCAGACCTCCACCCACCAAGACAACAGACACGGATGACAAGCCGGAGGAGACGAAGGATCATGATAGGGATCATGGGAAGCATGAGCATCCGGACTCAGCCTCCGTCACAGATGGATTCGTGACCGTCACAATGCCTCGCAGTAGCACTATTGCCATAACGACACCCATGGCCGTCTCCGCCAGTGTTACGACCAACGTGTTGACTTCGGCCACGGCGAGCCCAGCTATCAGCAACGGAGCTGCTCTAGAAGAAGCACAGCAGATGGAGACCAGTAGCGGGCACATGTCTGGAGGTGCAAAGGCCGGCATCGCCATTGGAGTCGTTGGTAAGCTCGCTAATTCGGACTTGCTCTCGTGGCACCATGAAAAGCTAACTCTCCCCATCAACAGCCGGTGTCGTCATGCTCGGAGTCGTCCTCTTCTGGCTCTTCAAGTGCTTCCGCTCCCGCAAATCGGAAGCAGACTCCGAGTCTTCCATCCGCGCCTTCCTCTCGGGCGGAAAATCCGGTCCCGGTGACGGCGGCCTCCCACCCCCTGCCACTGCTGCAGGCGCAGGTGTAGGCGCAGACCAGCTCTCGGCCAACTTCGACCCGCGCAGCAACTCCCAGATCCTCGACGAACTAATCGCCGCTTCCTACGCCCACCAGAACGGGCAAGACAACAACGCCAACAACAACTACAGCATCCCCAACGGCTACGTCCTCTCCTCTACCGCTCTCGACGAGAAGCAAGCCGACGGCGCCTACCCCGTGACCATCATCCAGCCCGCACCCACCCACCAGCCCGAAGTCCGCAAGTCCGTCGCCAGCTGGCTGCGCAAACACCACCCCCTGAAGCTGAACCCGCTTTCCATCAGAGGCAGCACCTTCTCAGCCTTCAGCAGCCGGCGCGCCTCATCAGCCTACGGCAGCTCCCAACAAGGAGGAGGAGGAGGAGGAGGACGGGACTCCATGGCTTCTTCTGATTATCCTTCTCCCACCTCTTACGACCCGGACGCGCCTCCGATGCCGGAAATCCCCGCTACGTACTTCAACGAAATCTCGAAGCCGCTCAGTCCCATGCCCAAGAAGTTGCCGACTGCCGCACAGAATATGAAGGCGATGAAGTTCCAGAGCGTGTGGTCGGATAGTAGTGCGGGGACGGATATGGATCAGGCGGATCGGTCGAGGATGACGGTTTCGTCGGAGGGGAATGAGTCGTTGTTTAATTTGTATGAGGGCGGTGATGGCCAGGTGAGGAGCCCGTCGCAGGTTGTGACTTCGTTGTCACCGCCGCCTCCGCCGCCTTTGGCGCTTAAGGATCAGGGCCAGGGCCAGGGGGCGAGTTCACCTCCTTTGAGGCCGTAGATGGGAGGAGGATAGAGGGATGTGGCGGAGTGCTAAAGATCGGTCAGGACAGGCCTGTTTGTGCGATAAGTGTGTCCAGTAGTGTTAGAATTTGGGTGGATTTTGGCATAGAGAGAACTTAGTGGTCTTGTAATACTGTTGTTAACCAACCAAGAATTCTCTGTACCTCCCGAAACCAGACTTCTTCAGGATCCTTGACCGCTCGACAGCCCCAGGAGTCTTGCCATTGCTTCCGCTACATCATGAGCGAAGCCTTTGTCATTGACATCCCTTTCGTCATCCTTGATCAGGATTTTGCTCCCCTTGAGCCCTTCGTGGATTGTCCCAAACAGCGCCTCGTCAGCATCTCTGTCCTCAAACGGCGCTCCCGATACCGACAACATGCTCAACCCGCCCTTCGGGATCCACACTTGTATCTTGCTCGCATCTCCCCCCTCCAACAACTTCCCACAAATCCGCCTCCCAATTTCTTTACACTCCTCCACCGACGTCCTCAGCAGCGTAACCGTAGGATTATGCTCATAAAGCTTTCTTTCACCATCCTTCCTAAACTTCTCCGGCACGGTCCCCGGCGGCCCAAAGTTGACCATATCCAGCGCCCCCAACGACACAACATAGGGAATCCCCTTCTCAACCGCCGCCCGCATCCTGTCCGGCCCGGCACTCATCACCCCTCCCACCAACTCATCCGCCAACTCGGTCGTGGTCAAGTCAATCACCGCGTCCAGCTCTCCGGCCCGCACCAGTCGTTCCATGGCTTTTCCTCCGTGGCCTGTGGCGTGGAACACCATTGTTTCGATGACGCCGGGGTATTTGGATTCGAGGTACTGACGGATGGCGTCGACGGAGGGGGTGGTGACGCCGAACATGGTGATTCCTACTCTTACTTTTTTCTTTTTTTCTTCGTTTCCCTCCTTCCCACTCCCCGCCCTCTCCTTTTCCCTCTCCCTCTCCCTCTCTTTCTCCCTCATCCTCCTCTCATAAGCACCAGCCATCCCCACCACCGCCCCCGCCGCATTCCCCAACACCCCCCTCAAAACCTCATTCAGCCCCGCCACGTCCACGACACTATACATCATCGTGATATCCGTCTCGCCCACGTAGGGGCCCGTATCCCCGCTCGCCACCGTCGATACCATCATCTTGGGGAAACCAATCGGTAAAGCATTGCGCATCACGGGTGCAGCGAGCGAAGTCGCGTTGCTGCCGCCAAGGGATATTATCCCGTGGATTTGTTGAGAAGAGAAAAGGGTTTGGATATGAAGTGTGCAGAGCCAGGACATGAGTTCTACCAACAAGTTGCGGGGGAGGGATTGGAGGGATCGGATGTCCTTGGGGTCTGATGGTTTGGCATAGCTGGAGAGGAGGTCGGAAGGGCCGAAGGTGATGGAGGGGTGGGAAACGGGTTGCCGGCCGACGTCGATGAGGAGGACGGTGGTGTCGGAGGCTGCGCCGTGGAGGAGGATTTGAGAGCGGAGGTAGAGGAGTTCGGAGAGTTTGGTGTCGCAGGTGCCGAGGAGGACGATGGTTGGCATTTTTTGCTGGTGGTGATGGTTGTTGTCTTGTTGAGGGCACTGAGGTGTTGGTGATGTGATGCTTGGGGTTCGGGTCGGGCCGCTGTAGTTGGGGGTGAAGAAGAGGGGTAAAATGCGGAGGTGATTGAGGTGGTTAAAAACACCAACCATGAACCCAAATCACATGAGACGGATGATGCTGTAATTTGTATCACGATCTTTTTACCCCTCCCTCCGCCCCCGACGATCCAAATTGTTTACTTCATAATCAATCCTTCTTGCCGTTGTGTTTCGTTACACTGCGAAAAGACGACGATAACGCGACGATAACGGTCGTGAAACCAGTGACGTAACCTCCGCAAGTTCCGCAAGTCGACGTACAATACTCCACTTCCCCTTTTCAAATCCGGCAATTTGTTTTGTTCAACTTCGTCGTCATCAGCCTCACTCACGACTTTGATCCCATCATTCTAGCAACTCAAGCTTGTCATACTTCGTTTCAAACAAAAATGGCACCCCAACTCACCCGCACCCAAATCCTAGAGAAGCTCCGCGGCCAAATCGCCGAAGGCAAGACCATCGTCGGCGCCGGCGCCGGCATCGGTCTCTCAGCCAAATTCGTCGAAGCCGGCGGAGGTGACCTCATCATCATCTACAACTCCGGCCGCTTCCGCATGGCCGGCCGGGGCTCGCTAGCCGGACTCATGCCTTATGGCAACGCCAATGACATTGTTGTTGACATGGTACTTGCCTCTCTCTCCTTGAGCTCACCCCATTTTCCCGTCTGGTTGCACATGAACATCTAGTGTACTAACGCAATTCCCACAGGCCAAAGAAGTCCTCCCCGTCGTCAAACACACCCCCGTCCTCGCCGGCGTCTGCGGCACCGACCCCTACGTCTCCATGCCGCGCTTCCTCTCCCAGCTGCGCGATCTCGGCTTCGCGGGGGTCCAAAACTTCCCGACCGTCGGGCTCATCGACGGCACCTTCCGCGCCGCTTTGGAAGAGACGGGCATGGGCTACGACCTCGAGGTCGAAATGATCGCGCTGGCGCGGTCCATGGACTTGCTTACCACGCCCTACGTCTTCAACGTGGACGAGGCGCAAAAAATGGCGAGCGCGGGCGCGGATATCCTGGTGGGGCATATGGGGTTGACGACCGGCGGGTCGATTGGCAAGCTCGAGGGGGAGAAGAGTAAAGGGGGGACGAAGAGTTTGGATGAGTGTGTGAAGCTGATTCAGGAGATTAGGGATGCGGCGAGGGAGATTAATGAGGAGGTGATTGTGTTGTGTCATGGTGGGCCGATTGCGAAGCCGGAGGATGCGGAGTATGTGTTGAGCAGGACGGAGGGGGTGCATGGGTTTTATGGCGCGAGTTCGATGGAGAGGTTGCCGGTTGAGGAGGCGATTACGAATATTACGAGGAGTTTTAAGGCTTTGAAGCCGACGGGAAAGTAGGTAGGTTGTAACTTTGGATGTATGAATCTAGCAGGATAATTGAAGACAGTGTCTAAACATGATGTGGGTGATTCATCAATTCGACCACTCGAGACTTTTTAGTGGCACCAAAATGCGCCCCCCGTTGATGTCCCATCACAGATCACACACTTACTTCACTGAGCCTCAGGACCCTTGCTAACCTCGTCCCTCTTCGGATCCTTGATCGCATCCAGGAACTTCTGTCTCGCCTCCTTATCATCACTAAACAGCGTATCAGCCACCTGGCGCTGCGGAGTCTCGCCCAGCCACTGGAACAGGGAAATATCAAGGAACTCGTCAGCCCGGAAGATCTCGAGCATGACCAACGGCTCATCACCAATGTTCTCAACAAAGTGTCCCATGTTCCTGGGCACAATACCGACGTCTCCGGGCATGTAGTTGAACGTGCGGGCGTTACCTTGGGACGCAAACACCGTCACGCGGGCACGTCCGCTGATGAAAAAGGACCACTCGTCCGCGTTGGGGTGCCAGTGCATCTCACGCAGCGCACCGGGCTCGATGATGAGGTGGGCGGCCGCCACGGTCTTGGAGACTGGGAAGTTCTTGGAGTCGGTGATTCGCACTTCACCGCCCGAGGTGATCTTGGGGTCCTGGGCAAGCATCTTGTGGGTGAACTGGTACTTGGACTTCTTGACGTTGTTGCCCTCGGGTCTTTCCTGGTCGATGGAACCTGGCTGCGAGCCCTGGAAGATGTACTTTTCTTTCTCGGGGAGGTGAGCGAAGATCTCGGGGGCCAGGTGGAAGTTTTTGGCGATGACGGACTTGGGGGTGTGAGCGAGCCAGTCTGTCACCAGGAAGGTAGACTCCTCGGAGAAGCTTCCGTCGTCGAAGATGAGCAGGAACTCGGTGCCGTTGTCGCCCAGGCCTTGCAGAGAGTGGGGAATGCCGCTTGGGAAGTACCAGAGGTCACCCTTTTCGAGGTCGTCGATGAAGTTGCCGCCCTCATAGTCCAAGGCGGTCACGCGGACGTTGCCCTCGAGGACATAACCCCATTCGGCCTCCTTATGCCAGTGCAACTCACGGATCACGCCCTTCTCGAGGCGCATGTTGACGCCAGCCAACTCAACGCTAGTGGGGAGCTCGCGGACAGTGGTCTGGCGAGTCCAACCTCCTTCTTCGATGCGGATGTGGGAGTCGGCAAAGCTCCAACGAAGACTGGGTAGGGTGCCATGGTCGGTGCTGGGTGGGCGGACCAAGTCAGGGTCCTGTCGAGAGCGGTCCTTGTTCCATGGTCCTAGGACGGTAGCTCCCTTGCCATTCCGGAAGGGAAGAGGGTCGAGACCCTCGCCAACTGAGTCGACGGCGGTGTCATACGGATCACGGTACGATGGAGTGTAGGGGTTCGTGATGTTGACACTCCGGGTGCGGTACTTGGAGGGCAAAGGCTTCCCATCGAGGAGGCGCTGGCGAGGGCTGTCTTGAAGAGGAACAGCGGAGACGAGGGCAATTCCCAAGGCGAGGAGCGATCCCGTGAAGCGCATCTTGGTGAGGGTAGTTCTAGACTGCTGGTGATCTGGGAGTCCGGAGAACTGTGATGATGAGACTGATCTGCTGATGGAGTTGAGACAAGATGTGCTGGCGATCGACGCCTTTTATCCTCCAGGTGGTGTTCATCCTGGCCGTGGTCAATATGATCTTGGTTCATCCCCGTTCCGCAACATCACTCAGCGTCATTGACTTTGCAGCGTATCATCATGATGTCGTGCTCTCAATGTACACTCGTATGTACACTCATAGACTTATCTCGGAGAAGACCCGGGGGGTTTCTGAGAGGTCAGGCCTGCGATATACGTCGGCAGTGTAACAGCAAACATCCGGATGGTTGCTTCGATGGCTGCTTCGATGCGTGGACGGACGGATGTAAGACTGGAATGGTGGTGAAAAGGCGAAGAAGGAAGGAGGAGGATGGAAGAAGGTCTGGTTCGGGAGAAAAAGAAGACGCGTACCACTGCGCCAATAGCGCCAAACATCATTGCCAAGCACCTGCCAAGAAGAGATTATGTTCCGTTATGTTCGCGAACAAAGTGACGTTCTGGACTGAGACCATCGGAGGGGTTTGTTACATTACCGCTTTTTCTCGGTCGATTTGGTTTTACTCGTTTTCAGGCTAGCCTTCTTATAGTAAAATCGGCCCCCATCTGCAAGCCAGAGTGGGTATATAAACGTGGCCATACAAGGGGTCCATACAAGGGGTGCACAAGGGTGCCCAGTTCCTTGGCAAAAGAGGGGGTTCTGGAGACCGCCAACTTTCTAATTCCTATTGATTTCGGTCAACTTTTTGATATTGAACCCACGATGGGAATCTTAATAGCGGTGAGCTTAATACTTGCTTCTTTAATAAACAACAGCATCGCGATCGATAATATAGTATTGTTTAATTAATCTAATTAATTTTAATTAATTATAGTAATAATGGCGGTCAGAGTGCACAAATTAGAATCGAGAAAGATAGTTATTTGAGGAAGGAAGAAGGAGATGGGGTGGCTGGGCGAGATTCTATAAGATTACTGGCACGGGGAACATGGCTGGCATAGGTTACCTACAGTCGGCTGGCGGGGCTGGCAGGGGGGTGGCAAGGGTAAACCAATTGGCTAGCACTCGCTTACATACCCAGATTAGGTATAGTGGCCCGCTACACCTGTTTTAGCAAAACCAAATCGACCGCGAAAATGCGGTATCACCACCTCGGTGACGCTCGGCCTGTCAGTGGCCGATAACGTTCGTGTAACGTTCGGGGCTGCTTCGGCGTTGACCAGGGTGTTATTCAGCGTTGTTACAGTGCGCCATCCCATCTCATCCATCCGATCCCGGGTCGTTCCGACGGGGACGACATTGGACGTCATGCTGTTCGTTGTCTTTGCCCTTTTTGGTCCCTTCGATGTTTCCAAAGATAAACCACGATCGATAATCGACATTCATCGACGGCCCGGATATCCATCATCGTGGACCTCACCGACCGACCGACCAGACAACAAAAAAGACGGAAAGAAACAAGCATTTTCGCTTCTTACGTACCGCCATCCCATAATTGCGCCAAAAACGATCGCGCTATTTGACGCCAATCCGTAATCGACAACATTCCTTTCAGTCAAAGGCAAACGCCAATCCTGACTCACCCATTGACTCACCACACTCACCCCCACGACGGGAAAAAGACGTAGCAAAAATGCGCAACAACACCATCTCCAACGACGAAACCCAACCACTGCTATACCCCATCATGTCAACAGACGACACCACAACCCCGGCTCTCACCAAGCCACCCTCGGGGCGATGGCGCCGCCACCTCACCACCGACATCGACCGCACCCACGCCGACCTGGTTCTCATAATCTGCTACCTAATCACGGGCCTGCTCGACTCCTCCTCCATCTCCATCTGGGGTTCCTTCGTCTCCATGCAAACCGGCAACACAGTCTACATCGGTCTCGGCCTGGCTGCTCCGCACGAATCAACACGCTGGATCAAATCGGGCACTTCCCTCCTTGCCTTTTGCCTCGGCTCGTTTTTGTTTAGCCGATTCCACCGCTTCTTCTCGCCGAAACGCCGCTGGGTTCTGTGCGTCTCGTTTGCGGTGCAGTTTGCCTTTACCATTGCGGCTGCCGCGATTGTTACCGTCACGGGAAAACCGAAAGATAGCGACGCTACCGAGTGGCATGTGCTGTTGCCGATTGCGCTGTTGGCGTTCCAGAGCTGTGGGCAGGCGGTGACGAGCAGGGCGCTCAAGTATAATGCGCTGACGAGCGTGGTGTTGACGAGTGTTCTCTGCGATCTGTTTATGGACGCGGATCTGTTTAACTTTAAGGTGCATAATCGTGAGCGGAACCAGAGGGTGGGCGCGCCGGTGTTTTTGTTCTTGGGGGCGCTTTTTGGAGGGTTTTTTGCGCATACGTCGTTTGGAGTTGCTGGCGCGCTGTGGATGGCGGCGGGATTGAAGTTGGTGGTTATTGTGCTTTGGTTGGTATGGCCTGCTAAGCCCAGGGCGGTGCTTCAGCATCCTAATGGACTTGAGAACTGAGTTGGTGTGAACGAGTGGCTTGTTATGGTTGACGACGACTGTTGTTTTATGCGCAAGTTGAGCCTGTTGACTATGTTTCTTGTCATTTTGAGCTGTATTTCTTGGACTAGAGGGCAAAAGATGTGTAGATGTGTGTGCTATGGAGAAAAGACTAGAGAAGAAAGGGAAAAGAAATGTAGAGGGCTAAAATATAGGAAGAGGGTGAGGGCTGGACCTACACAATAGGGAGGTGGGATAGACCTACCCGACAATAGTATTAGATTTTGACTTATCCTAGAGCTATAGACTTGGTGGTTCTTGTGCTATTTTTCATCCAAATTCCTAATAGAATCTCGGTCATCTTCTCCGCCCCCATCGTTATCGGGGTTGCGATTAATCACAGCTTCTCGACATTACGCAAAGCCCACAGCTCCTTGGGCTGACCAGCAGCATCGCAAGAAGAAAACTTCCACCAGCCCGAGTGCAGAGCACCGGCAATGTTGACCAACCCCCACTTGATGGGAGCAGGCATGGGTGGCCAGTTTGCCCACATGCCGTCCTCAACCGTGCGGTCAAGGTTGAGAAGGAAGAAAGGCACGCAGTCTGTCACGCCGGCCTTTGTCACCGTCGCCTTACCCCACGTCTTGAAGGTGGTGACGGCCGCTGTGTGCTCGGGTGTTCCCTCCTTGGGGGCGTTGGCGTGCTCGGAGAACTTGGCAATGGTGGAGATCTCGCTGTGGAAGTGGTCGGAGAAGGAGTCTTGGAAAGTATCCATAATGCGAAGCAGCTGGTCGCCCGAGAAGTCGTTGGGGCTCTTGAGGCCGCCAAGGTACTTTTCGAATTCGGCAAGACCGGGCAGGAATGCCTCTGCAATAGGGAGTCAGTATGCTGTTTTATATCAGTACTCTGGGATCCTTGGCTTCTTACCATGCTCCTTATGGGTCTCCTCAAAGACAGTCTTGTCCTGCAAGAGGTCCTCGATCTTGGGGAACAGCGACTGCTCTTCGTCGTCATGGTGCGACTTGACGAATCGGTACCAGGTCAAGCAGTAGCCGATAAAGTCGGCCTTGTCCTGGTCGGCAACATGGGCAGCCTGCTGGTAGATGGAGTTGTAGCCGCGGAAGATGGAGTTGTGCAGCAGGGCCATGTGGGTGGCACCCGAGGTGAAGATGTCCGTCTTCTTGGTTGCGTACTGCGGCGTGGTGATGAGCTTGATGGGCTGGTCAGCCCAGGCCTTGGTGGGTGTAACGGATGTCATGGTGAATGTTGGGGCGCGAGTGAGCAAGAGGGCGACTATCAAGAAGGGAATCGAGAGAAGCACTGTTGTCGTTGTGGATGATGATGTTGATTTGGAGCCAGCCATTGGAGAGAGAAAAGAGAAGCAAGTTCTCTCGTGATATGGACAGCTAGAGTAGTACAGCTGAGAGATTGGAAAGGGAGGGAAGCTGGTCTTTTCCGGGAGTCCAGAGTCGAGGAGGGACCAGAGTAATCCGACGAATGATGTGTCGTACGACAGAATGGTCCTTTCCTGAAAGATCCCCTGCGCATCGCGGGGTTGACGGGAATCGCCATGGAGCTGGAGATTGAGGTGCCACTGTGCTCGTGGGCGGCGGGACGGGACTCCCCGCTTCTCGGCCCCACCGTTAGCGCACTAAGATAAGATAAGGGTGCCTGAGACACAGTATGGGGACACCTGGAACGATCCTTCCGCGGACTGACATCCACTGAACCGTGCCCTGAGAACCTCGACGGTTCCTTCCAGACGGACGCAGTGGAAGTGGAATTCGGCTCCCTCCACTTGCTGAATTTATCCACGTCTTCTTTCTCTTCTTTCTATTCTTTCTTCCTTTTTCAAATTTCCACCATCTCTCCCGCAACACTCATCCATGTCGCGTACATTCAAGGCTCGCAACATGCATACCTACATGGCAGTATCTCGCAGCAAAGACGTCGTAATCGATTACGAATACCAGCACCGGCTGACCTCCTCGAAGCTCAGTCGGCACCTCATGGAGAGGAAAATGTCCATCTAATCTCACCCATTCTACACAACCAGCCAGGCGAATAACGTTGAACGAATAACGTTAACCATGGTCGCATTCCAAGGGAACGTTACCTGGAGATGCTGACCGTTGACTCACCGGGAACTCCTCGCCGGGCTCGCATAAGCCATCTCCATTGCTACATTATGTCCCGGTTCCGTGTTTACACGCCTCGGCGCCCATCCTAGGCTCGTCAAAGTCAGCTATAAATTGGACCTCACCACTACGCAAGCATCCATACCCTTCTCGGCTACTCTGAACCAGGCACTACACCCCTTCCAAGGACAACGTTAGCTATCCTCAACGCCACCATGACAGTTGCTCTCAACCCCCGCATCCGCGTTCGCGAGGCCGTGCCCGCCGACGCCGAGGCCATCACGAATACCTTGTTTGATGGCTTTTCTGTCGACGCAATGAACCAGCTTATGTACCCCAACGGTGTATCGGATGAGTCGAGAAGCAAGTTCGCTGCCCTACTCTTCTCGCCCATTCCTCCCAGCGAGGGAGAGAAGCTCATGATGGTGGCAGAGTTGCTGCCAGAGGGTTCTGATGGTCCTGGCGAGATTGTTGCCTTTTCCGGCTGGCGCCTGTTCCGGAATCCGCGTGCCGAGGAAGAGTGGAATGTCAAGGAGGAACCAAAGACACAGGAGCAGCTGGGAGAAGGCTGCGATGTGCGGGTCTTCAACGAGTTTATCGGCGGATTGCACAGGAAGCGGCGAGAGCACATGAAGGGTGACCCTGGGCTTGGTAAGTTTGGCACAGATAACGATTTCCCTTTTCGGTGGCCGGTTTTCTAACTTCAAGACCTGTCAGTTCTTGGGACTCTTGTCTGTCAGACGAATCGCCAAAGGCTGGGGGCCGGAAAGGCCCTCCTACACTGGGGTACCACCCTGGCTGACGAACTGGGACTGCCACTGTTTCTCGAGTCATCACCCTTTGGTTACAATCTGTACAAACAATTCGGTTTCGAGCCCATCGATGTCCTCGATATCCCTATATTCGATTTGTTCGGCGCCGTCAAGCGCGAAGGTCAGAACTGGGGAGAACTCGCGGCGCTCGAGTTGGCTGGACCTCCCGCCAAGGGATGCTTCCGCAGCACCATCATGAGACGACCTGCCAAGAGCGCCTGATAGGGACGCTTTTAACGCTGTCGGCAGTGGACTTCGCTACCGCATTTTGCTGCCTCACCACACCCATTCCGTACTCGTATACTACCGAATTCATCAAGCTGAAATTGATTGACGTCCCTGCAGCCCTGTCTATCGTCTTTCGCTACCAGGTTGTGTCGCATTGTGTGACCTGTGGGGATGTGGGGATTTGGCATACAAGCTTGGACAACCGCTGAGACCCCTGATTTGTCGCCTTGTCCAGTGGAGATTAGCGTGTGCACGCCAGTATGACTGGCATACCCAATGTGGTGATGGGGGCATCAGCTCTAGGCAGCCACTATTTTCTTATGGACCCGCCAAACCATGTGGGTGACGGCCTGGACACTTTTTGCGTGTAAAATTGGGGCGGGAACGTTTTTCTCGCGCCCATCTTTCCCTATCTGGCACCCTATCCGATGCATAGGGATGAGAATTTGGGTCTCAAGCCGCACGGAAAGGTACAGGAGTAAGCACTAGGATGGCGCCAGGCTGCTCTCAACAAGAACGCCGACGGGACTTATACATATCATGGGTTTCATCAGTCCTCTTGGTGCTGGACTCTCTGTCCCTTCTTTGCCATTGACTTCAAACTCTCTTCCTTGGGCGTCTTGAATCCATCCTTGTTCATCGACCGAATACCAGTCAAGATGGCCGATTCTTCGCATGCCCACTCCCAGCAGCAGTCACCAGCCAATGCCGGCAGTGACTCTCAGGACACCGACAATCAGGGGCACGTCTACCCACCACCTCAACCGCTACCACAGCCGGGTACGGTTGGCAATGCCACACAACTCACGCAAGCCTTTTATTATCAACCACAACAACATGACCCAGGATTCGACCCTGCCACTGTTATCTCGCAACAGCAGTATTACTATGCACAACAGGCGAGCCCAGCGGGCAACCCGTCGGTGGACAATCAGCAAGCCTACTATGCACCGCAACTACTACAGCAGCCTGGTTGGACGGCCGATCCCACTGCAATCAACGCCCAGCTCTACTGGCAACAACAATTATCGACTCCTAATCTCGCCGCCTATTCCCAGTACACTCCCGCCTACGACCAATACCCGGCGCCCGACTCAATTCAAGAGGTGCAAAGCCCAGATCTGCACCCCAAGCAACAGCCCCTTCTTATGTCAGAGGATGTCACTCCCCGGCAAATGCCTTCGCCGCAGGCGGATCCCCAGCCAGGCGTGAAGAAGGACGTGAAGAAGTGGAAACGATTCTGGCCTTGGTCCAAGGATCATATGCAAAAGTTCGAAGACAACCTTAAAGACAAGTTCAGCGGCAAATCAGGGTACAGGGGTTTCCGCCGTATCTATCTACCCACTCAACGGGTGAATAGCCAGGGCAATGACAGCAATGACGGGCTTAGCGGCGATAGCAAGGTCGTGTATCGTACTGGAACCGCCGAGGCTGAGGATTATGATGACCTTGGAAAGGTACACAAGGTCGATGGCAAGCTCACCTACGTCAACCAGTTTCACCAACGTACCCGCAAGTTCCTGGATGTGGCCGTTTACCTCAGTCCAACCCGCTTCACTCCTCGAAGACTGATAGTTCAGGCAACTGATCATGTCATCAAGACCCGCTTGGACAGGGGCGACTGGATCAGGACCAAGGTCAGGGGCAGCGTGCCCCTTGTCCTGGCAATGTCTGAATGGGCACTGTTTCCCTTCAAAACCCAAGGGTTCTGGGCCAAGACAAAGGGCACCTTCCGTCTATTTGTTGTCGCCATTCCTGTGCAAGTGTTTCTTGCCCTTCCTTTCCTCGGTAACTACGATGACGACGACGAGGTGACCGACACCTATACCGACTACCCCGGGTACTACTGGAATTGGCCCAAGTACGCTGTCAACGAGTTGGACATGTCTCCTGCTGCTCACGAAAAACGTAGTAAGGGCTACAAGTCATCACTTAATGTTACAAAGCGTGCTGCACGTCCCCGGTTGCTGTATGCCAAAGTAAACGGCGAGTGGACAACTATCAGGGGCGATACCTTCGAAAACTCTACGCGGCGATACATATTCATCAGCTACATGTGGGGTATGTTCCCAAACGCAGATGGTGCAGAGAAAGCTCATAATCTGGCGCGGAGGATTGTTGAGCACGAGGGCTTTGACGCCTACTGGATGGACCGTGAACTTGTCAATAAGGATTCGGCAGCCGATACAGATTACGATGTCTACACACTTTGTGACACAGTCCGAGGATCGTCTAAGGTGTGCCTCATGATGGACAAGGACGGAACGACACAACGTCTTGAATGGGGCAGCCGCATGTGGACGCTGATGGAGGGTCTGCTCGCCCCCGGAGATTACATAACTTACTGCTTCCTGGACGCTGAGGGTCAACTTGTCACCAAAGACATTGGAAAGGTTGAAATGACAGCCTCTTTCTGGCGTGTACCCGACAGTGAATATACGGACAACATGGAGGCTGTGCGCATCCTGGCAGAGCACTATGCCAACGTGCTGACACTTTCTCGCCTGGAGCTGCTTCCGGCGACGATTACAGCGCTGAGTACCAAGAACCGCAATGAGTTCACCGGCTCAGATCTTGCCTACGCCGTCATGGGCTTTCTTCACTACCGGATTGAGCGCCAAGACGAGTGGACAACTGTGTTCCAGAACCTTGCTCGCCTCTCGCTTGGTAATGATAGTGATGAGCTGGTGGAGAGGATGCTTTGCTTACTTCCAAAGCCGTCAAACAAGGACGTCTTCGAGACTCTGTCTGAACGTGATGAGTATGGAACCTTCCTCCACCACATCACACCGCAATGCCAAGTGGTTGGTGTGGCGCACGAGGACGAGACTGTTATCCTGGACTCTTGCCGTGCGATCCACATCCGATGGAAGGACTTTCCCCGACCAACTGTTCAACGCGACGTGGGATTTGGAAAGGTGCTCGCGGTATTCTTCCTGGCGTTCGGCATTTGGTGGTTAACGTTTGGTATCCAAATGTCACTGGCCTACATCCCATTCTTCGCCGGCTTTGTTAGCCTAACCGACGAAGAAACTGGCAGGTCATATGTCGGTTGGGTTATTGCTGGCTTCCTCTTCGTGGGCCTGTTGCTCTCTGCCCCTTCACCATTCTCGGTCAGACGGCTCTTTGGCGGTACCGTGCTGAAGAGCACCCCAAACTTGGTGGGATTCGAAGGAGTCATGCCTATCGCGCAACTGGAAAAGATCGTCTTCGGAAATGCGGAGGGCCGACTTACGTATGCGCCGTCCGCTACTCCGTTCAGCAGAGAAGATCGGGAGAACTACGAGAGGCGAGGCAAGGAGCCTTCGTGGATCGACAACCCAGACTCTGCCCTTGATGATCTCAAAGCCAAGAAGCTGTTGCCGTCAGACAGACACCAGCTCTTCACTCTTGTTGATATGGGCGAGCTTACGGTCACTATCTTTGCTGCAGAGAGGCCACCGACTGTAGCTCTTCTGTGCGGCAAGGAAGGCGGCATGCTTCGTGCTGTCCTTTGCAGCTGGCGATTTGAGACGGATTGCTTGTACAGGGAGACAGTGGTGAGGATGCCCACGCGGGTCTGGGAGGTAGCCGAGCCCAAGGGCTGGTTGAAGCTGTGTCTACGATCTCAAAACGATTACAGACGCAGGGAGCCCCTCAAGAAACAGGAAAAGATAGATAGGGACAAGAAGCAAGAGGAGGCAAGGTTGAAAAAGGAGGCTGAGGAAGCAGCAAGGAAGGCGGCGGAGGAAGCAGCAAAGAAGATGGCGTGAGAGAATGATCCTTTGTGAACAGCGCCGCATGACAGCGTGACCACAAGAAGATTTGCCAGTTTGGGTGCTTTCCAAAATACAGTTGATGATAAGGAACAGCAGCAGGGCTGGTTCATATATCTGATCAGTCATCCTCGTAACATTTCAACACGCTTCAACCTGTGAACCATCCCCATTCATCATGATCATGACCCCGTTCTTGAGCAAGTCGTTGTCGCACCACTGTGCAAAGGCCGTCCTCCTCATCGTTAGCTTCAGCGGATCTTATCCCGACAATTGTCAGATTCAAGGGTGGTTTTAGCCATACCATATGGAGGTTAGCGCTCCAGCCACCTAATATTGCCTAATTTCTGGGTATATCTGGGTTACCCCAGCACCCCCCACACCTTCTAGGCGAATCAATTACACACACTCTTCAATCAATCAATTCTACACCATAACATCTAATAATTAATAGTTTAATTTGCGTATTTATGTTTAATACTACAATTATCGATTATAAGTAATATGCCTACGAAACTAATAACGTTAATTATATCTTTATTAAAGAAATCTACCGATAAAGCTATTACAGTTATCTTCAATACCCCTACCAACTAGCCTAGCTAATATAAAGTGTCAGGAGATATTCCAGGTGGTGCCTAGATATCTCCACCCTATCATAATACATACTAAATTAGGCATAGGCATACTCATCTGAGCATATCACAGCATATAAGAATACTCACCCCGTCGGTCTCTATTAAGATTAACGGATCAATCAATTATTACTTTACAACCTATTGTCTATCTTGCTGACGCTCTATAAAATCGTATATAAAATTCCAAATTAAGGCTCTCGATAATTATTATCTTCGCTTCCTTTAATAAAACTATCGCTAATCGTTACACACTATTACTCTATCTAGTAACCAATTACTCACTCTCTTATTCTCTATTAGCATTACTTATAAAATACATCTTCGTATAATAAATAATGCCTATAACTTAATTTTAAACTGACCTCATTATTCTTTATTCTTTTTCTCTCTTCCTTTTATAATAATAATGATCTTATTCACGCTTGACTGTCTAATTTTAACTAGTCGCCTATTTAGGCATGCGGTCCTTCGTCGTTCAAAGCCGGGCGGAAAAACCGTATATCCGAGACCACTACTACGAATACCGGATAAAAACCTCCCGCGTCTTTATATTTAAGGTTTTCTTTCGTTTTATCTTAAGCTTTCCCTTCGTTGTCCTCCTCTAGCTAACCCTTCTACCCCTACCCTTTCTTTACCGCCCCGAGACTATCTGTCTTTTATAGGGTAGTATTTTAGGGGGAGGGAAGAGGGGACTTACGGATTCGATCGGCGTTCTTAAAGTCTTTTTTCGGCCCGAGGGTCCTAATTTCGGAAGCGAAGATAAATATTACCCTCCTTATTATTAAGGAATCGTATGCTAATTAGGCGGAGAAGTTGTCGTACTATCGGACGGGGTAATTTCTTTTATTAAAGAGTAGAGAATCGACTCAAATACACTTTTGGTAGGGTTTCCCAGGGTTTTAGACTAGGGAGAGCCCTGCATGTTTAACTACGTGTTTAGGATGGGGGAAGAATTCCATCCGAAAAATCGGATGGAAGAGAGGGGAGCGGGATTCGAACCTACGACCTCACGAAAACCGTAAGGCAAATCTAAGCTCAGATCTTCCTAATTGAGCTATCCCCCCCTCTTCCTTTTATAAAGGGGGGAGATTTATTCTTCGTTTCAATAGTTTTAATACAATTATTAAATTTACTATCTAAAACCAAATATATTGCCTATTCTAACTCTTTAAACTCCCCTTTCTTTACAACTCTTTTATTATCCCTACCGGTCTCGAAGCACACTTTTACTATAACGAACAATAACAATTCTATTTTAATTATAGCTTTTAAACTATAGGATAATTAATAGTCAAATAAAGCGCGGTAAATTATTAATTATATTATATTTTAAAAACAATTTTACTATAAAAAACGTCTTTACGCCGTCGCTTAAAATCTTATTATTAAAGCAACCAAACTTCACTTTAACGAAATAAATTAAATTTTTACTAAGAAAATTAGGTTACAAAGAATAAAAACTAAAACTTTAATATAAATTGGGTCATTAATATAAATATAACCGATAAAGAAATCTAGTTTATCCTACGAAAATATTGCTGCTTAGTTGAAAATTATTCCGTCCTAAATCGCGAAACTTAATTATTTCCTAAGGATAAAGATAATTAAACTTATTAATTTAAAAAAAAGTATTATCGCAATTATATAAATTAATTTAAAACTAATAATCGTAAAATTACTAACGATATAATTAAATAAGCTGCCAAAGTACCAATTCCCCCTAATACCAACATATTTAAAATAGGCTCCTAATTTTAATCTCCCAACAATTTCTTTAATACTATTAAAATAGCTGACGTTCCTTCTACTAATTTTTCGAACATTATTAAAATAATTAATATTCTTCTTATCGATCTAATTTAAGTTTTAATACTGCCTTCCTTACTACTAACTCTAATTAACTAAAATATTCGTCCTATATCTCCAATAAAATCTAATATTTCATACACTAATTCAATTATACAAATCGCTACTAATTTTACTAAACAACTCGCTACTAAGCAAGCTACTATATACTTTACTAATATAATTCAAACGGAGGCATTAATTTAATTCGTAGTAAAATAATAGTAAGAACGCTTATTCGAATAATCTATTCCGATTATAACTAATATTTTTCCAATTTATTTTATTAAACCTCCCTAATATATCGTTCGTATTACTTAGAATAATCTAATTTTAAATACTATCCGTACTATTAATTAGAATTAACGTATAATACTACTGTTAACGTGTGGCTAGTACTGTGCCTTGTAACTGCCTTGTACTACCTTGTAGTATAGAAGGCTAGTTGAACTATTCCTTCTACGGAATCAGTTGACTCAGTCCCCACAGAATGTACTAGAATACAAGAGGTTTTGCCACTGTATTCTAGAGTCTTATAACTTAGCTAGCATTTCTTCCAGACTGATTTGTCATCACAGGATTCAACAGAAGCTTCTAGATGCTTAGTGTCCATGTATATAGAGACCTCTCCTCTCCTTCAGTTCGTCACTCCTTAAGCAAGCAAGCACAAGTCAAGCAATACAATATAGTCTTTTCTCACAGTGCAGAGTCCACTGTAATCTTCTGTCTTGAGAGCAGAGTCCTCTCTAAGACCTCTTTTACAACATCCTTTTATTGTACTTGCAACTACGCTGCTTCCTTCAGCATTGCTGTCGTACTTCCTACCGCTTCCGCTCCGCTCTGCTACAAGTGCATAGTTCACTGTAGCAACCTTGTACTGGTGCTATCATTATAGGCCAGTCAGGGCACCGCAGGAAACAGGTTATGAGCCCGGGAAACAAGAATACCCGGATTCAGCCTATCGATTCGCGCTTCCAAGTCACGATCGATTCTTGACCCCTTGGCTCTGTACTACAGGCCAACCTCCTATCTCTCTTCTCGGCAAACAGCACTGTACTACAGGCTGTAGACTGCTCATCAACTGCAAATAGTACTGTACTACAGACTATTTTCACTGGTCCCTCAAGCACCCTTCATTATTGCAGTGCTATAATGGATCAACCGACTGAACTAATGGATCATACTGCAGCTTTTCCTGCAGAATATCCAAGCCTGAGCTTACAAGGCTTACAAGCTCAAATTCACAACCTTGAAGGCCAGCTTCAGCACGTTATTTCGCTGCTACAACAGAACTTGGCTGCTCAACACTCTTCTCAGACTCAACAGACTCCTCAAGCTGAACAGCCTCCTCAAGCTGAACAGCCTCCTCAAGCTGAACAGCCTCCTCAAGCTGAACAGCCTCCTCAAGCTGAACAGCCTCCTCAGGCTGAACAGCTTCCTCAGGCTCAACCAACTCTTCAAGCTCAGTCAACTCTTGAGTCTCCTACACCTACCTCGGAGCCTATTACAGCTCCAACGCTTTCAGCACACCTCGGAACTGATTTCAGCGCTCTTACTACCAAAGAGCTTGCTAAACAGTCACTCCAACTTGCTGAAAAAGAGCGTCTTTCAGGACCTGAAAACTACAATCAGTGGTATCAGGCTATTTCTATCCAGTTCAGGGCACTACAAATTCCTGAATTCCTGGAAGACCCTGACCGAGTTAACGCCTTACTATCTGATCCTCAGAAGGCTGCCTTGTTATTGACCCTTCGGAATACCTTAAAACAGGGCCCCTTATCTACTATTGCCTTCGAAACGGACCCTGCAGAGGCTTACAAGCGTTTGCGTATGCAGTACGCTCCCAGCCAGTCAACCCTCCAAGACTCCCTATATAAGGAGTTTCACTTCCTTAAGTTTGATGGATCTACTACTATAGTAGAATTCAACGCCAAATTCAACACCCTCGCGAGCCGACTTGCTGGTCTCAGCGTTAGGATAGCGGAAATTGACCAGATCAACCACTATTTTAACGTGCTAGAAAGCCACTTCTCTCAGTGGGTAGAGCGTTGTAGAGGCTTGCTGCGGCAAGAACAATGGCTCTACAACACAGAAGGCAAGATTACTAAACTAAGCCTTCTGTACTTCCAGGAAGACCTACTAGCTGAGACTCGGAATTCGACTACCACGACTTCTCAACAACTGTTAGCTTTGCAAGCTAGCTATAAGAGAAACCACAGGTCGAAAGATAACAACAAGGCTAATCATCAGAACCCACGGTCTACTAAGAGGAAGGATCAAGATATTAAGCCCTTCAGCCAGCCGTCTGCTAAGCACACTAACCCTCAAGGCAAGCAGCAAGGCAAAGGCACTAAGAAGAAGGCCCAAGGAGAGTCCTTCAACATTGAAGGCACTGAGCAAACAGCTTCTAATGAAGCTTTCACTATAGGCTATAACCTTGAGTCTGGCACTATATTCGGAGCAGACAGTGACTCTGAATTTGTAGCCACCGAGGAAACTCCTGAATTCAGCCAC